TTTTGTACATATTTGATACATTACCACTTAACTGGTTAATTATACTTAATTATACTAAATTCTTATATATGCTACTTCAAAAATGCGTTACTTCCATATCCAAAATTCCGCAAACTGAACATCATGCAGTCATTGATAGCATCAAATAAGTAGTTCAAAAATTTCTACATAAGCATAATATTAAAATAATAAAATGACGTAATTTGTAGATGTTTATAATGTAATTTAGAGAATTGATACGTATTAATTCTTTAAATAACGTACGTTATTTATACCTTTGCTTACACTATGTCCTCAATGTATTTAATTTTTAGTTTTATGAAGCGTCATGACTGTAATTTATATTTTTTAATTATTAATATCATAATTATAAATTTTAAAACACAATCAATTTAAAATTTGTTCAAACCATTTTAATTTATAGAAATATATTTTGAATTAACAATTAAAAAGTGCGTCGTTATAATATATGATTTTTGGACATTTTCGATAGTTGCAATTTGAGAAATCTTGTATGACTACAAAATGTAACTGATAAACGTTATTTTCTAGATTTTTTAGAAACAAATGAATAAAAAATTACTAAATAAAATAATAACAATAAACGGTACAATAAGCTTTTGTCTTGAATATTTTCTAATTGTATAAAGAATTTGTTTTACATCTGTTACAGCATGCATTTTGTTAACGATAAGTTTATTTTTTCTTATACTGACAGCACTATCAATTCTATAGGCCAAATTAAACAAGAAAATTTAAATTGACATATTTTACCAATAACTATTATTATACATTAATATTACAGTTTGGAAACTTCTAATAATATAATAATAACTAAGGAGTCATAATGAATTTAAATTACCTAAAGTACAAAGAATGTCCAAGATACACGTACGACCAAGATAAACGTAGAAATATAAGAAATAAAAATTGAAATAAAATATGGTGACTGTGTTGAATAACTCATTGTCGATAAGACAAATTTTGTCTCCACCGAAGAGTCGATTGTTAGTTCATAAAATTGTTTTATTTTATAAAATTATAAATATTGTTTATAAATTTCAAGTAGACTACACATAAGCAAAATATATCAAACACATTGCGCATATGAAACGTACTTAATAAATTTCAAAAATGTAACTTTTATTTCTTAGAAAGTAAATAGAAAGTAAATTTATAAATATATTTATAATTGTATAAACATAAAACAAATAATTACATGTCAGTGATGTATAAACTTCTTTGCATATTATAAATTGTTTAAATCACCAAAGTCAAGACTGCCTTTTGTCGTGGTGCCTAGTTGTCGTGCTACATGATCGCCGTTAGCATCATTCACCTTGGGATAAACCTATATAAACATTCATAAATATTTGCTAGTGAAACAAATTGTCTGGCTATTGATTAATTTTGTTCTGCTAAAACGCGACTCGGGAAAAGTAAAAAATTAATTATATGTACGTACGTATAATTGTATTAACAGTAATTTCAATGAAACTTACTGTCACTTTTTTCTTCTTTGATTGGCTTCCTGACGGTCCAACTACTGTCACACGCTCTTATCGCACTTGTCGGCTTGATCAAATGTGAATTTTCACACTGATGGTTTAAATCCGTTAATTTAACATCAAGTTCTATTTCGATGGTGCAAAGGTTGCACAGCACATGAATATTATCGCTCTGTCTACAGTATTTCCATACCCAACTACTGCCTACTTTTAACTTATGGTCAAAAAAGCGTGTGTCGAAATGCGCACCTTTTAAATGAAATTCTAAATATTGCTTATAAAACAGTAAATCGCCATATGAACAAAGAAGACATTGTGATTTATATTTCTCTAGATACTTCAAGTACATCCACGGGTATCCTCTTCCGTGTTTTTCTTCGTATGAAGTAACTTCTGTATGTCTTTTTTTTACATGTTTACTAAAATTTGTAGTGTCGATATAACAATATTGAAAATCGCAAGATTTGCATTTTGCTTAAAAATTATTCAATATTTCGTAATTTCGCAATAGTTTACATTTATTTGTGATATTCGTTGGCATAGACATTGCGCCTGTTTGCATATTTTTCAATTTGTTCGTATGATTGACTGATGTATGATAATTTATTGCTGGTGAAAGAGGAAGATTCATAGTTTCGTCACAATCCATTATATTACACCTTATCTTAAAGACATCAATTTGTGTGTAATATTCTCGTTCATTTTCACAAATTTGATAAACAGCCACTTGTATCGCAGAATGTTTGCCTAAATGTTCGAGATAATTTTGAAACTGAACATGTGTGTTACAAACAAGACATTGTGAAAGTAATTTGTCAAAATATATCTCCGGCGTTTCTCTCAGTTTTTTCTTTGCTATGGATATGAAATCACTCTTATACTCTTGACAAAAATGTGCGTGAATATATGTAAAATCGACGTAAATGATATTTGTTTTGCAAGTTCTGCACTCTGCTCGAAAATTCTGCGGATTTTCATAATAATCCCACATATTGGCTTTAGTTATGCTTACTTGTGACACATTGTGTCTGTTTCAACTGACTAGATGCGGATAACTGAATACAATATAAGAGCCTTTCTGCCAAAAAATGTTCTGTAGAAGAAAACAAAGGAAGAAAGAAATTTTAAATAATTTTATAAATTTTTCGTTAAAACTATATTGCTAGGAATATTATACAAATTTGTGTATACATATTTTGCATATTTTATGGTTTCTTTTTTTTAGCTTTTATTTAGCTGTTTAAAGTTTTTGAAGCAAAAATATAAGAAGAAATAGACAGAAAAAAAATTTTAAATAGTTATTTAAAGAAATTTAAATAGATATTGTAAATTAAACACGAGCAAAAAAAAGCGCATAAACAGCAGCCTAATAATTGATCAATTTTTATTAATTAATCTACAGAGTTGCCGCTACAAAATTTGCTGAATCCATCTTTGCACGGTACGCTCAGGTACAGCATCCTGTCCGAAACCCTTACATAAATTTCTAGACGCCACACTCGCATTATTTCTCATTTCAGACTCATAAAAAATACAATGTCGCAAATGTACTCTGCCAGCTGCCATGTTAACGAGTTAAGATCTCCGCAGCAATTAATTCGAAACCATTTAGAGTAAAGTTGGTATTGTAGCACACATACACACTTTCAGCCAGCAAAATAACAAATGAATACGTTTATTAACTGCTGATGTAAGGAACCTTTACTATTGCACATAGAAAATCAGACATTAATTTTAGATAAACCCAACATTATTAAGAGACAAATAAAAAAATTACATACAAAATCTTCTAATCTGTATATATAAGTTTTGAATGTGTGTATATGCGCACATACACATTCAAAACTTTTCAAAATTTTCAAGTCTTGCAAGGTGTTTTGAGATTTTTTATTTTTGGTCATACGTGACGTAATAGCAAATGCAGTTTTATGCGTGTAGAAAGAATAAATTTAATGCAAATTTATTATTATAGCATAAAGTAATTTCCACAAAGACTGCCATCTTAAAAATAATGTAAGACCCACACACTACGTCGTTTTTAAGCTATATGTCAAAGACAATATAACCGGCCTTTTAAAATGGAATTTTAAATGCGGCATACATTCGCTACGTTTAAATGGAATTTAAAAGGGATTTAAAAGCGTCATATATTTATGGACTTGCTTCCACGTGCGCTCGCGTAGGATCGCGCGAGCTGCATCGTCGCTACTCTCGTTGGTGCAGCCACGCGCCACGCCGGTGCATTACCATTGTCGGCCCGTTGAGAATTGCATTTATAAAATTTCCCGAGCAACGCGGAGTTCCTTTCTGCGGAAGGAATCGTTACAGAATAAATTCAACTCTGCATATTTATGATTTGTCGAAGCGTAAAAAATGCTTTTCAACAATTAAAAACAATTTGCAATATTAAAACTGCCTTATATTAAATTATATTTTGCAACGCGGAAACCCATTGATTAATTTTTCAGATTTCAAACGGTCAAAAGTACACGAAAAATAATGTTTCGAAATTATATATCTTAACAAACAGTGATATTGCACAGTAAAAGAAGCGGTTTCTCACACTCGGAATAGTTTTTAAAATTTATATTAAATACAATAGTTTGGATATGAAATTCTTATTGCGATGCCTTCAGCGACGCCGCGAATCAGATAAACAGCAAAAAAAAAACAACGGGAGAGAAATGCCTGTTTGCGCCAGTCCGTTTTTATTTCGGATATGCAGATGCAATTGGCAGTTGGTGCGGTAAACGAGGAAACTTTTTATTTCGCTCTAAATGGCGATAGACGGTCGATCGCTCGGGATATCCGCGGCGTTATTTTCTCATCTCGCCGACAATGATTCTACGGAACGCGCGGGGCAAATCTCGCGGAAGCAAGTCAGCGATTCGTTTTCCCCAGGGCGCGTGTGTCCACTCGCGATAACTGCATCGACGTGTTGAACTCAAAGAGAGCTTTTTCGGAGCGGGAGCGACGTCGCAGCCGAAAGTATTATTGAAGAAGTTTGAGAACCGCCGTGGCGATTTCTTATCCTGTCGGCGATATGAAGTCGAACATTTCCGCGGCAAAAACGGCGACTCCCTTTACTATTCCCGAATGTCGCCTCTCGATTGTTGCACTCGATTGACGTTTTTAGCAAGAAGAGAGGTTCGCGACGAGTTGGCTGTTTCCGTTGGAAATTATACGACAAGCGTCGATATCAAGATGTAGCGGAATATAATCAAAGCTGGCAGCCCGAAAGTTTTATATTAAAAAGCTACTAGTGTTGGCACAAAGCTAAAATTGTCTGTAACCGAACAGAGGAAGAGAGAGAGAGAGAGAGAGAGAGAGAGAAAGAAAGAAACTTCTAAGTTTTGACACAAGAACCAGTTTAAATTTCTTAGATTTATTGCAACAATTTACTTTTTTATAATATTATTAAAATTACATGCATTATTTTAATATTATTTAGATATAATTATATTATATTACTGATTACATCTGTATTTGTATTATCTACTAGGCTACACAAGCGCGCGCCATTTGTTCCCGTTATATAATAATTAACATTTTTACTTTCTATAAAACACTTCTATTTTTTGTATAATAACAAAGATACAAGCTGTCAAACGCAATCGTCTCGATGGCAACCGATCGATGACATATAGTAACATTCAAACTGAACGTGCGAATTGAGCAATTAGTAACGCGGGAAAGAGACTTCAAGAGGAAATAACGTGCCTCTTTTAAAGTGGGATCCTCGTTTAGAGATAATTTTTCGGCGATTTTCTTTCAGATCAATAGTTTTCCAAACAATGATGCTTACAACCAAAAAAATCCTGACGATCCATTTTCAACGTGGCACCAGCAAGTATGGCCAGATTCCAATTTTCACGCGTGGAGCGTAACAAGTAACGATGTCGACGGAATAACAAGCCGTCCACGGCATGTCATCATCGTAAACTGCCTAAACTCCCTCAGCGCGGCGCACCAAGGCTGAAAAACCCGCACTTTATGGTAATGAACTCGTCGATCGTCCAGTGTTCCTCAGTGCAAAGTGTCGAGTCATCAGACAACATCACGTCACAAGATGGCTCTTCACTGTTCTGTTATTCTCATCCCGGCAAAATCGATGTTTGGCTAGTACGCCTTTGGATTTCTCCGAGCAATGGTTTCTACAGGAGTCTTCTTTCCATTCACTTCAGTTACCCTCTCCACTATGGTTCAAAATGTCCGACGATCCGAAAGTAGGCACGCATTCGCCGTCGTGGCACTCTTTACCGGGTGCGCAATGAATTTCTAAAAAACAAAAGAAATAGATTAGCACTTAATTAAACATTAATGTATCTAATCAGCGATAAAAGAGTACCGTCCAGCGCAGTAATATTCATTTCCCGCGAAGTAGTATTTATTTTTGTCAGGCGACTCGCATTGTAAGGACTGGCGCACATCACGCAGTGTGACAACGTTTGCGTTTTTGTTGCACAAAAATAATTCACATTGCCTTTCGACGGTTCATTCTCTTTTGATATAATCGTTATACCGCAAACGATTGAGCTTATCAACATTCGAGATATCGTCCGGTTGATCTAGAAAGCAATGCTTCGTCTGCCACAGTTTTTCAGCTATCTGTCGACTTCAAGACCAAACCGTCTTGCCTCGAAAGCCCCGTTCAGGTGACACGTTGTAATCACCTTTCGAACATTCATTCATCATCCCTGAAATTTCGAACAAAAATTATCGAGGATATACTTAACTTTGTATCACTAAAATAGAATAAACTTACATTTAACAATCCAAAGAAAGTAAAAAAATAATAAAATATTTCAAAAATTAAATTAGTTTCCACTTCCTTAGTTTTTCTTACACAAAAAAATTAAACTTATATGTATAATTTCTATACATATATGTGTGTGCATACACATGCGCGCACACGCACGTATACACACTTATTAGTTAGTTATGATGACTAACAATTTACTTATGGCCAATCTCATGTGCAGCATAAATCGATGCAAAATTCGTACATCGTACGTCTAAGATCTTCTGGTCGAACACCAAATTCTACTATTGCACAAGACGACTGCGAGATGCATGAGCCATTTCCCGCGGCAGTTAAGTCTCTTCTTCACCGAAGGATAATAAAGATTTAATCCAGTTAAGATGCGGATTATTATCGTCCAAAGGATTAAAATTTTCCGCATATTTGCAAAACAAATCCAGCAGTTTACAAGCACCGCCGCCAAAATGTGGCAGATCTGGTGGTTGCATTTGCAAAATGTACGTCAATATATTATATATTGATAGAGGCCGAGACTTGGATGAACACAGTTTGAAGACCATTCACGCATGTCACCAACGTATTACGTATCTTCGTGTCATTTCCGTCCAGAAAAGGCGAGAACGAATCATATGCGGTTTCATCGAAGAAGATGGCCGATTCTATAATTAAATTGTACTGTGAATTTGATAAACAACGTTGCTTCTGAGATCGTTCACATAAAATAGGTCCGAATCAGCAAGATATTTCAGTGATCGTTTAATTAAGTGAGGTTTGCCAGATGAAACATTAGTTTCTGTTTCAATACAAGAATCGCCGATTAAAGATGACAACGCCAAATCATTTTGCAACGATAATATCTAATTTAATGCTTTCCGAAAAAACATCCTCTTGCTACTTCCAACAAGGATACATTTTTTAAAATCTTAATTTTACTTATAAAACTGCGAAAACAATTAGGAATAAAAATATTCAAATTAATTTGTTCTTTAAATAATACCACCAATCAATCCATGTTCCTGACAGAAGTTCATGACCGCGATGCTTATATGATATTCGTGAAGATAATAGCAAAAATCCATTGCGTTTAATTTTGACAGTTCTTTCGTGATACCTTTTGCGTTATGTTTCCATACTTTAAACGCAGACGATACAATCTGTCGTCGTTTCTACGCAGGTTTAACTGAATCTGTTTTCCAAAGGCTTTCAGAGTTAATGATATCTGCAAATAGAATGACAATTAATGAAAGACTTGACAATTCTAGAATAATGTTTTGAATGTTGAACAATGAATAAAACAGTACAATAAAACGCACGTACTTCCTTTGCGCCTGCCGCGTTCAATGCCGGCAGCAATATTGTTCCGCTATCTTGCGTGATAAACGCGTACGTTTCATTTAATAAAATTATTAATACCAATTTTAATATAAGAAACATATTTAGTAAACGTGTTTTAATTTTAAATAATTGAAAGTATTTAATTAAAACCCTTTTATATATTACAAATATACATACGTTATGAAACTCTCTATGTTTGTTATATCTTCACAGGTCGCGTACTGAACACATACTGGCATTTGGATTTAGGAATATCATTTGTGTGTCGTGACATTTATATATACATATATTCTCTATGCTACATAAACACGCTTTATAATATTGTCGTTATATTCATTTACACTCGGTATAAAATATATTAAATGTTATTAAATGTAAATAATAGTTGAAAATATTAAATTATAATTATAATTTTAAAATACTAGGCCACATAAGCGCGCGCCATAAAAAAATTCAATTGAAATAATTCGAATTGTTCTTGCATATGGCGAAGAAACAGCCCTACTTCTTTGAACATAATTCCTTGTTTGTCTAATATCTTATTTGTTGATCTGATTTTAATCAATCTAACTCAATTGTAGTTTGTGCAACTAAACTCTGTTCAATTCTGAAACTTGGTTGTCAATACTCAATTTTTTTCAGTAAATAGATAACATTTTACGTACCTTTGTGAAAATAATATAACAATTATTGCGATATAAAACGGGCAAATGTATAGGAAAACGTAGCGCGAAGGGTGTTTTTGGCGATCGAAGGAAGAGAGCAGGCGGGAATCGCTTCCGGGCACGACGCTCGGTTAATCGCGCGTAATACTTAATCAAAGCACATAGGCGCGTCTACCTCCTCCGGGATTGAGATACGCGACGATCGCTTCGGCCTCTCTCTCTCTCTCTCTGCTCTCCTGGAATACAAGAAGGGAGGGCGGACAGGCCGCGTCGCGGAGGGGCCGGAAGGATCCGGGACAAGGAAAAAAAAAAGATGGTAGGAGGAGGAAACGCGTAGCCGGCAGTGACACATAAATCTGCCGCGCGATACGTTCGGCTATGCGCGCACATTTAATTGCAGTGCAGTTGTTGCGGTTGAACCGCCTCGCTGCGCTCGCGGCCCGCTGCATCGCGCAGTCACTGCGACGTCCTCCCAGCGAGTTGTAGATATATTAGATAAAAGCGAAGACGCGCTTGGCGCGATCCGATCGAAACTAATAGCGCCCCCGTTTTACGATGCACTGGCGTGCACTGGAGCCAGCATTATGGTCCGCAGGCATCGATGAAGGCAGACGAGGATTTCATAATTAGCGGCGATATATTAGCGTCGACGCGTCGTTCGGCTCAACTGCGTAGCGCATTCACTTTTAAGCAGATATCTTTGCAGAGTTGTTTCAAATATTTGTAAATTATAATCAAATACTGTCAAAAGATCTCCAAGAATGTGAATCGTGGACGTTTATTCTCTGAAAGACTAAAAATAACAAAAATATCGCTCTATCAAAATTTTATTACATAAAATTATTTTGTTGCGTTAAAAAAAATTAACATTTACTTTGTTTTGCAAACTAAAATTTTGTTGAAACAATTGTAAACCGTTATTTTATTTGTAATATATATAATGCTAAAGTAGTCAATTAATTATTATGTGTAATTAAAACTTATTTTACCAAGTTTTGCTTCAAATTGGTCTCCATATTTATGATGTACGTATCTCATGGCACTCAACGCTTATTAAACAATCTTCAATAAAAACACAAAAATAATAATACTTTATTGATCGATTTTAATAACAAGAATTTTGTTCCATCGTCACTCAAGACTATATTTTGCGCGCGCTATTGTTTAAAGCTTTTTGATTATTTATGTCAATGTATGTACGCGTGATGCACCTACATATTGCACTTGCACTGCAATCGATAGTTTCGATCTGATTATGATAGAATGGACGATCAAATATGATGGTTATTTAGCGTACCTGGTAATCAGCGGTCATAAAAATGAACATAAACCGACATGTACCGGTGAAAGTGATGCGTGTACAGTTGCTCACGAGAGCGCGAGCGCATGTTCCACTCGTTTGATAGCAATAAAAGTCTAAGTTCCGATAACAAAGCGTAAATGCCAACTTACCTCATTTATAGTCTTCTTTCTTCAAGAATCTGTAGGAGCGATCAGCGCAAAGTCGAATTTAGAAGCTCGGGCATTGCGCCGCGCGAGCAACAATGCGAGAAGAAAATGCTCAACGCGTATTCTCGACTCATATGTACATACATATGTAATGCACGGTATAAATATCGTCGTGAAATTATCATTACAACGGAAAGCACGTTGCCGCTTTTATTCATATGCACTCGACATATTCACGTTTAATACATGCTTCATCGTGGTGCTCCGCGAATCGCCTGCTTCCGATCGTTTAGTTTCTCTCTTAGGAAAAAATTGTCAAAAAGATTGCTGTAGTTTAATTGTAATTTATAATTTAATATTGTATAGCAGTGTAGTAGACACATATATCGGTACATTTTAGAATAAAAGAATTATAGAATTGCGACATAAATGGAGAATTAAAGAATTATTATAAAAAAGTAATTTTGAGGTTAGAAAATCTTATCTGTAAATTTGCTACTATTATTATCATTTGTTTTTAACAATAAAATTCACTTTTTTATATTTCAATAATATAAAAGACTTTGTAAAACTTAAAGTGATAAACAATACAAAATTATTCATAATATTCTCATGACAGCGAAATAAGCCCAATTTTTCGATGGGTAATTAAGTGTCCTTTCTTTGACCTAGTTTTTTTTTAATCAAGATGATCTTAATATAAATTTCTTTTCAGTCTCTCTTGTCCCCAAAAAGGGTTCTGGGTTCTTAAGGAAACATGATTCTCGCCTATGCCGCTCGGACCAAGGATAGATCGCCCATAGAGATTATCAGAAGCGCAATTTGTTTCAGTGCTTAATACGAATGTTCTCTCTCGAGACGTCGGCTACCTGGGATACCTATTTCATGGTCAGACGATTTTGATGCCGCATGAACACCACAATTTTATTCTATAAATTTTAATTTTTAACCTTAAATTTAAAAAATTATCTTTTGAATTTATATATTTTTTTTACTCGACACAAATAAAAACATAAAGCAAATTTACTATTAAATTCTTAAATTATAATATTTCTTAATACATTGAGTTGATTTCTATCCATAAAATACGTACATGCAAACATTACTTGACAATATCGAGTGTGAAGGACAACGTGATTAATTTAAAGAGAATGGAATTTATGATGGATACCCGAGGAAAGATATAAAAAACGGAGGAGTGAATTTGGGGTGGCAATTGTGCGGTGTGAGATGAGTGAGAACTTAACCTTGCATGACCCGCACTTTTCTCTCGTAATTTCGGGATAAGATATCCGTACTTACGTAAGGTCACCTTTATTATCGTTTTACCGAATCCCCTTCATCTCTGGTTGAACCCTTCATCTCAGGTTGAGCGCTTCTCGTTCATTCTCGAACACACATTACAAAATTATAATTAAATCAGTATATGTGAAAGTCTGCACCTACCGCTTGTAATCTTATACGTGCTTTATGAGAACAGGTGCATTATCCGGTGTAGTAATTATTTTGCAAATTTTCAATCAACTCATACGCGACGTGTTAATATTTCTTTGTTATACAAAGAGAATTTCATGGCTAATATAATTTTGTCTAAAATATCTTAAAAATAGATTGTTTAATAAATTGAAATAAATTTATTCTTTATAAAAAATACAATAACAAAGAAAATCATTATTTGTTGCAACTTATTCATGTACAACAGTAAATAACTTTTTATAATAAAATCTACATAATTAAAGCTTAAATAAATTTAAAAAGTAAACATTTTTTTAATTTTTGACAATATTAATAAATTAGTGTATATCTTAAACATTAGTATAAAATTTAATAATTAATGAACACTTTAGCGTCATTTCTTTTAACATTTTATTCCTGACTTTTTTTAATTATGGAAATCTTGCTCTTGCGATTTTAAATCGAGACTGGGCCGTTCTTAAACATTATCATAAACTTTGCGTTCACGTAGAACGAATAAAGCAGAGAAGACAAGGTAATTAGGCGAAATTTATTTAGTGTAGCCGAGCTCACGCGGGATTTAAGATTATTGCGCCGGATGCGCAGCGCGAATGAAAAAAAACTATCACTTTCGTGCGTTGCATAAAGATGCGCGTGAAAAAGCATGCGTGGTAAAGTTACCTTATCTCGTGATTGCGTTACATTCCAGTACTTGGTTAATTAAAAGAATTAAGTTACTGTCACTATTTTAGTAACAGTTATGCATTACAAAATTATATCGCTGTAAGAAAAAGTGCATTCGAAAAAAGCGCATATTATGTTATTTTAACTTGGATTATGTTATGTTAAATAAAAATCAAACTTTACAAAATTGAATAATCATAAAGAAAACAGAGATTTTTCAATAATTTTTAAGAAATTTTTTTTATATAATTACACACACATACACACGTACAAAAAAGTGAACAAATAAATTTAATGAAAGCTAAGTGCAAAATATATAAATATATGTAAAATATAAATTAATAAATATATTTATTTTAGATTTAAAAAGCTCAATAAATTATGAAAAATAATATTAAATTGCAATGTATACATTTATTATAATAAAAAATATAAGAATAATAATTTGAAAGAAAAACAACACAATAAATTTACTTAAAACGTGGAAAAGGATTAAGAATAGAAAATAAAAGAAAAAATATATTTTTTTTAATCAAATAAAATAGAAACATAGACAGAAACATAAGGAATATATCACAAAAGATAAATGTATGACAGAATTGCTACAGAAAAATAAAAAAAATGCGGAAACCTTCACCGTCCATTCAGGATATCCCGCAGCGTGTCTGCGAAATTGTCTCGCTGCACAAATATTTTTACTATGTCAAAAAAATTGTCCAGCAACCCTTTTGTCCTTCCTCTTTCCATCGCTTCTAAATTTTCTGTAAGCTCTCAATTACATCGCATTAACGCAGGTTTAAGCGTCGAAATGCGTTCGTTCCGAGCTTCTTACATTTTACACATTTTTTACACATTAAAAGCAAATTTTGTGTACAAGCAAGTAACAATAGATGTCAAATTAAACAAGGGATAATTATTTCCGTTTATTAATTACATTGTAAGATTACAGTTTATGTGTTCTTCAATGTTATAAACAAAATTAAAATAACACGTTGACA